CAGCAGCCAGTCCCTCTTCCCACCATCGTACCCCAGCAGGACCCCAACACAACCGAGAGCTGCTCCAGCCGCCCGTCCTCCTCCCCTCTGCCTCCGGCCAGTCCCAAGGCCAAGGGTAACGAGAGGCATCATGGCTGGATGCCGCCCTTCACCTTCCCAGCTCCCAGTGACTCACGCCCTGTTAAAACCTTTTGCTTTGATGTGGGCAAGAGCAGAGCGAGGAGGAGACGGCTTCCCACCACACCTGCCCACCTTTTTAATGAGCCCTGTTACTGACTACACGGCAGCAGCCCGAAGGATGGGCACCCAGAGGTGTCCGGAGCTGCACGTGCCGCTGCGGAGGCAAAGACTCACATGTCACAGCTTCAGGAGCACCCACGAGCTCGGCCCGGGGACCCTTTGTCAGGACTTTTCGGGACGCGCCGTCTTCCAGGGGTTTCTCCTTCTTCGGGACGGCGGGGCTGACAGGGGTGGAGGTCTCACCCGCCTCTGCAAGAGAAACAGGGTTGGAGCTGAGCACCCCGGGGTGCACCCCGGTCACCCACACCACCCTGGAGCACATCCCCAGCCGCTGCAAACGGCACCGGTCGATGCTCTGGGACTCTGATTTCAGGCATGAGCCAAATCCAGCTGCCCTTGTTGCTTCTGCAGCCCCAGAGCACACAGTGGGGGGACAGAGCTGGAGCGCTGCGAGGGGTTTTGGGCTGCTGGGGAGGGGTATCAGGGCTGCTTCACTTCGCAGCCGCTCACCCCGCTGCAACGCCAGCATTTCGGCAGCACCCTCCCAAAAACCTTCCGGAGGTCCCACATTCCTTCACTAAAAAGCCAAGGGGATCTGGTTACACTCAGCGGTTCAAGCTGCATTTTTCATTCCCCCTTCCCATGAAAGGGCCACTGTATTCCCTGCAGGAGCCGGCTGCCACCTCCCCTCGTGTTCCCGCTTGCTCTGGGACAGAAGCAGCCCCTGCGGGACCCCCTCGATGGGGCAAGAAACACCCCAAGTAAGAGCCGTGTTATTCCCCGTGGGGATAAACCCCAACACCACACGCTCCCCTGCAGAAACCCAGCGAGGAGAAGGCATCACCACCTCCCTGAGAGCCAGCACTGTGGGCTGGGGGCCGGCTGCCCCCCCATGGCAGGGTGTCTGGGGAGCTGGGGGGTGCTCAGTGTGATGCTACGCTCCCCCACGCCCCGCAAACCCCCTCCTCACCGCTCCATCCCTCTCCCCGTCCCCCGGAATAGCAACTACTTGCACAACAGGGGCTGGACCGCACTTTATATAAAACTAAATTATAGCTTGGGCGAAGGGAGGGAGACCAAACACCCATAATTTCCCCAGCTATAACAAGAGGTCCTACACGCAGGCAGGCAAGGGCGGGTGGGGGGAAGAGAGACCTCGGACACTTCATAATACTCAATATAACAAGAGGTCCTACAAGCAGGAGCCGGGGAGGAAGGCTGGCAGCCCTCACGCCTATAATTATAGGGACTATAACAAGAGGCCCTACAAGGGAGGCAGGGACATGCTGCAGAGGGGCTGCAGCCAGCCTGGAGCGATGCTCGCTCAGCTGCCAGCTCTGCTACACCCCACGCACTCATCCACCTGCCTCAGTTTCCCCACAGGACCATCCTCTCCACCCTCCCCAGGATGCTGATCCGGCCTGGGGCCCCAGAGATCCTCCGACGCGGGGTTTGCTGGGAAGCAAAGGTCACCTTGATGCAGAGCCCTGCTCACAGCTCCCACAGGCAGGGCGATCTGGGGGCTCAACCAAGGGAACCCCATTTGCACAGAATGCTGGCTCCAAATCCCAAGCGAAGTGGGAGTATGCGAGCCCAGAAAGGAGAAAACTCATTCCCACATCCCTGGAAAGCCCAGGGCAGAACAGAGAGGAGCAGAGAGCAGGTTGTCATCTGCCTATAGGTGTTGGTGCATAGGCGTGGTGTAGAGGTGAATAATACCCACATGTTGCTGCATCCACAGCCTCTGTCATGTCCCAACCTGGACCGGCTTGAGTCAGACCTGTGGTGCTTAGTCAGCACCTGATCTACAGCCTGTTAAAGCCAGACATGAAAATCCCGATGGTTGAGAAGCTCTGGACAAAGCCCCGAGTCAGAGGTGCCTGGTGCGGAGCATGGAGGGTACAGCTCCCACAAGGTCCCCAGAAAGGGATCCGAGCCGCTGGGCATCAACGTAGCTGGGGAGCTGCTCCAGTTTCTGCTCTGAGATGCCCGGAGTCTGCTCAGGGCTTAAAAATCAGCAGCCAAGGCTTTGTGGTTGCCCAGAACAGCCCCATCCCCTGCCCTGCTCTTGCTCCCCTGCACAGCAAGGGATTTACACTGGGAAAAGGAGCTGGGAAATCAGGTGCTGCAGCAGGAGAAGGGCTGAGGGAGGGCTCCAGCTCACCCCTGCCTCCGTCATGGCCACCCTGTGCTGCCTCCATCGCATCCCTTGCCCCCTCCGTGCCCGTTCCCGAGGGGCTGAGGACAAGGACGGTCTGTTTAGACCCTGGGCTCTGCGAGCAAGCAGCAGCACAGCCATACGGCCGGCGAGCGTGCCGGGCCACCGACTATTGAGACAAGGCTCGTTTTTGCCGTGTCCACTTCACACATCTAATTACCCTGCACAACAAGAGGTCTCACACACAACCGCAGCGATGCAGGGAGGAAGATGGCAATTAAATTAACTCCCACTGGAACAAGCTGGCCAGAAGAGAGACAAAAATAGACAGGAGAGAAATTTGGGGAAGCTGGTCCTTCCCTGCCTTATGCAGCCTCCCTTCCCGGTTGCTGCACGGCCGTGGGGAGCGTACGGACGGCGCTGACCCCCAAGCGCACGGCATCCCCGGGTGTGAGATGGCCAAGGGCTGAGTCTGCCATCGTGGTCACAGCCTGACCCCGGGGCAGGGCTGGGGACAGCTGTAAACGTGTGGGCTCGGCACAACCCCTGCAGGCTCCTGTCCCCAGTTCCCTGCATCGCTGGTGTGTGCTGGGTCTGGGCATGTCCCAGGCAGCTTCCGACCCACAGGGAAACGCGGTGGGAAGGCGCAGGGAGATGCTCGTGCACTGAGCATGCAGGAACGCAGCAGCTCCCCAACAAGCCCAAGAAAACGCACCCAAGGAAGAGGCAACACACACGAGGGCACAGGGAGAGACAGACGGACGGACGGACAGACCCCCGGCACTGACACTGCCGCTGGGGCACAGGCTCCCCGAAGCTGCCCGGCTCCCCCCTCCTCCTTCAAACACCCCCCAAGCTCCGCTCGCCCGGCTGCTCACACTGCTCTGCTCGGCACCGCCAGGCACCTCTTACAGAGTGGGACGGGCAAGAGCTCTGTCCCCCCACCACTGGGGTCTGAAAGGGGTCCCCCAGCAAGCTGAGGACCCCCTGCAGTCCCCTCTCCCAGCAGGGACCAGCTTCTTCCTTCCCCTGCTGTTACCCCACTGCCACCAGAACAAGACCAGGCTTGACCTAAATCTGCTGGGTTTAAAACCAACCACAAGCCCAGGCAAAACACAGCTGAAGCCCTAAGGAGAGCCAGCCCCTGGGACAGGATATCCAGCCCCTTCCCCGCCTGCCCCTTCCCGGCCAGGGCAAACGCTCATCACGTGGCGGAGAAACAGCCTGGGACGAGAGTCCAGGCCCCCGCTCCCCCACTCGGCACCACCTTCTGTAAAACACAAGGGAGAAATGAAGGTAACGTGGCACGGGGAGAGAGACTCGTGTTTTGTCTATGAGAACAGAGATAAGGCGGCATTTAAAAATAATAAGCCAGGCTTCAGTAAATCACAGTGCTGCCGTAAGGTACAAAAGATACGGAAAGCTGATAGATGTGGAACTCCTTTCTTTGCCTCCTGGCTGCCAAGAACATTGGTCAGGTTTCCTGACTATTCTCCGCACTTACAAAGTCCAAACCCAGCTGTAAAAGCTGCAAGACATCAGTGAGCTCCAAAGTCCACCAAGCGCCGCAGGAGTTGGAAGGAAAAAGGAGGGAGAAGAGGCTGTGAGGTTTCATCATCTTTAACCGGGTAACTTGTAATATTCCTGCAAAGTCAAATGTACAAAAGGAGCCAAGCCCGGCTGCGGCAAGGACCTGCTTTGCGTGGCCGGTGTCTGCAGGAGCTTCTGGGGCAACCACCAGACATTGTCCTGATGAGGGGAAAAAGTATTTGTGCTTCGGGTGGGAGGCGTGCTTAATTCCCAACGAGCTTGCAGGACTGCGCTAACCCATCCCCGAAGCACTGGGCAAACCAAGGAGCAGCAGCTGGGGAGAA